TTGACAAATCCGAATCGTGCCTACGAGGTTGGCTTGCTCTACCCGCTCAGCGAACAGACCGCGGTCAGCAACTACTTCAGATCTACACAGATCATCTGCTTTTCTTATCGATCAACTTTCGGGAAAGTTCGGACGGTGTTCTAGTTCAGTGGAAAAGTTGATCCATATTCTGTTTCAATTTGTACAGGTGTTCACCCAGACGCTTTGGCGCAGCGATTTTGGTTCCTGAATTTTGGTGGTCCATTTGGATGGATTAGTAGAGGAAAATTAGAATATTCAAAGCACTGCCAGTCGGGAGAGAGATAATTCGGGAAGACTAAGGTTGCACGAGTGCAACTGTTTAAGACAACCGTCACTCAGATTCTTTAACCGTAGATTACACTGATCTCTAGGTCCCCAATAGAAGAATCTACCGCGACGATGAGATTGCACCTTGACGTGGTGTAGTGACGAGTGCGAGTACACAGGATGGCTTCTCACAGCCATGGATCCAATTGTCTGAAACGTGAATGGACATTTCGATTCCACAAGCTCAACTGATTGATCATCTGCTAGCTTCCTTCGACCATTCACTGTCGTCCCTGGATAGGTCACTCCAGCAAATGAACTAGATAAAGAGCAGTTTGCTGATCAAAAACTAGATGAACCCCTGGAGCGGGGTACCTGAGGCTTCCCACCGACGGTGTGTGCAATCTTTGCGCTTCGTGGGACTGCTTCTGTTGATCCAGGCTGGGCAGTCCCGAGGCAATTAAGTGTTGCCCCTTCCACGTTCTGTTTGTCTCATGAAGTGCATGTGACTAAGGACTGATACTGAACAGTGGGTGGCCAGTCAACTCACCAGCGAATAACGCACTGAAAAAAAAACTTGAAGACATTGTGTGGTAGTTCTGTAGAACCTTCTACGCGTGTGTTTCGATCATGTCCCCGCAGTGGATCCATGCCCTACTGTCTTGCGAATTCGACTTTTTAGTCAAAGGCTTCGGTTAGTTTTCAAAGAAAAAAATCCTTCTTTGCGGTGTGGGCCACCGCGAAGCACTTTGTGCCGTAAAGCTCCAGGCGACCATTTTGAAATCCCTCTTTCCCAGTAAATCGAAATTGACCACATAGTTGTAAGCCATCGTCGTCATGCTGCCCCACAAAAATTCAAGTCCTATCGGACCAGCTGCATTGAGTTTGATCACGCATTAGTTTGAATACACTTGTCGATTCGTCGCATTAATCGCCGACACAAGCCGTAAACTCGGTTACGTCGTCGTGCCTTTTCTCATACAGCCGTCCATGTCCTCTATCGGGGGAATAAACCATAGTTCTTCAGTGAAGAAAAAGTGAGAAAATGATGCTATCTCGATGTACCCTCTTTCGTTTTGCTTCAGATCCTGGGAAGCTCACATTTCTTCCGAATTTGAGTAATCGTTAGAGTGTACTCTAATCCTCCTTGGACCAGCTGACCCACCTACGTTATATAGTCTCCCCAAGAAAAACCATCGAACAGACTTACTAGTCTTTTTTATTTTGTGCTCACTCAATGCCCCCGCCTCCTTCCCGTCAAACGAGAACCATAAACGAATTCTATCCAGATCAGTTTTGCTCCCGGGGTTAGGATTGAATACTTAAATCTATGTTCGACTATGCTTCTACATACTTTGGCCCAGTGCTTTCTGACTGCGCTAAACCAAAACAACTGCCCTATCTCCAGGTGGAAATACGAGAGAGAGAGGGATGTGCAAAACATATGAGGTGAAATCATAAATTTGAGACTATTTTCTGTCTGGGGTTGAACAATCAAGTATGAACGTGTGTGTGCCCAAGCGACAACTCAGTTTGTTCAAACGCGCTGGTTGGTACCTGTTAACGTCTTCCTCAGTTTGACCTAGAATTCAGTTGACATGGTTTACAGACAAATGTTTTCACCTGCGATTTCACGTGTGTGTGTGTGTGCGCGCGCGTGCGTTTGTGCACATCTCCCTCTCTGCACATATGGTATCTTGCCGAGGTGTTGCAGCATCTGTTTACCCCTTACCCGTAGACCGAACTGAGCTGACATCTCCCTCGGACGCTCTTTTTTGTTTAGATTTTGTTCAATCAAAATTAATCAAGTTCATCGTTCTGTGCATGTGTGTGAGAGAGAGGTTCACACACTCCATCACAAATGAAGTTTATGGAATCCTGTTAGCTTCTTGGTCGGTGTCCGTTTACTGGGCTTACCGTGTGTGTGTTTGTGTGCGCGTGAGCAACGGATCCGGATGATCAACAAACACCTATATTTCTCGACCACTCGAAAATCCACCTCAAACACAAGAATAATTTTCGAGAACAATTTACCCCTGCCACCCCCTCCCTTTTTAGGTAGAGTGAGTGGAGTGAGTAAGCATCCGTCCACACGATACACCCGCGGTTCATCTTTCTTAGCTATGCAACGGTAATAATGATAGTAATAATAATAATAATAATAGCAGTAGTAGCTTTATAAATCCAACAATTTAATTTAATCTCCTCCAGCACCACCAATGTTGTTGTAACTGGAATTTTGTGCGCAAGGTTTATTGGTTAATCATCAGCTGTGAAATCGCTATGATTGGACGATACCTGACAGTCCCAGTCATTTGCCTCATTCTTATAACTCGACCCGATTGCATCATCGAAATCAATTCTCAGTTGTCGTAAGAGGGATGCCAAACACCGTCTTAGCATGTCCAACTGTTTGATCTCGTCCTCCACCCCAGTGCTATCCTCATGCACGTAATAGTTACTCCACTGGGTACAAAATCTAGAATAATTTTAATTGAACCAATAGAGCATGTCAGTTTAATTGTTTAGTTAGACTAAAGCGAATTGCAATGCTGCTAACTTTCTGAACGCATTCCAATTTGCTTAAGTTCACTGTTTCGAGCTGGTATTAAGTAACCCTACCACAGCAAGAAGGATATTTTTTCTCTTTGATTCATTTGGTCCAATGGAAATGTCCAGTCAGCTTTTAGACGGGCATTGAGGGATCTTGGTAAATCAGTTTATCTACCGGGAGAAAACATTCACTTTTTAAAGTAAGGAGATATTGATAACAACTTTAACAAAAATGGGGACGGGATTTGATCATTCCCATCACTCGAGCATGGGTAAGCTGAATAATGCATATTTGGATCAGAAGTACCACTTTATGCGAAGTGTAAATGAATATCACTGTATGGGGTAATATTGTACAACACTAAATCGTCTAATGGTTGGGTGTCACAAACAGTAGCGCTCGTGCATTTACTCATTATTATTGCAACCGCAGTTCTCTATCTCCGCTCTCAAAATTCCATTCTTCATTCTGTTCTTGTATCCAAATGGGCGAACGGAAGACAGCAACCAAAACCGGCGCATGAAAATACATGATTAATGGTTGTGAAAATTGAAACTGAAACATTCTCCAACTTTACATTTAGTCTGNGCCAGGCTTTTTTATCACAGTGTCTGATTGTTCGATTGGTTGATTGACTGATTGACTGACAGATCAAGAACATGAAGAGGACATGATTACATTGGTATCCAATTGATTCGATCGATTACGATTGACTTCATCTCTCTCCCCCACCCCTTTTATTTGCTCACTCCCCTTGTCCACTCGCCAATACCCCTCATTTGGCACTCGTGTCACACTGCTTCCGAACCTCGATCGTCGGAACCTGGTTGCAAAATAGGATGTAGTCGAGCAATGGCCCACACGAAGCGACTGGCCATTCGTTCGAATTCCATCAGTGCTTTCAGTTGCAAACGTGAGGCATGCATATCAGCCACCTCGGGTCTGTCCTTTCTGTATCGATTCACTGTGGACGAGACCCATCCGCCCATTTTGGATATGCTCGTGAATTCACCGAAATTTCGCGTCCGTTCACCGAGTTTGCAGTCGACCAGTTCCTTGCTCAGTCTTCAACCGATCGATTACCAGTCGCCCCTGGTCGATT